TGAAAAATGACTATTTTAAAAAAAATTTATTATCAATTCCCAAGAATTTGAAAATTAAAATAAAAATTAGCCTCAATTTGTCTATTTGGGTTTCCAACCTGTCAAAATGGGGAATTTTTTTTATAAATCAAAAAGGAAATTAGAGAGAAAGAGAGACTTCCGTTAAAGTTAGTTCACACGCTTGACAAGAGGGACGGTTAAAAGATAACTATCGATGCACTTTGCAAAGACATTCTCCTCCACTTACCTATAACTTAACGTTCAATGTCGCGATCGTGACAAAAAATGATGTATTTCCGGCGGATATACATTTTTTTTCTTTTCTTACTTTCTCGCTCCTATATTGCCTATAAACTTTTGTTTCCTCACTTCTTTTTTTAATATCAATTTCTAATTCTTCAGTTTTGCTAATTTTTGCCAATCAAGTGCCATATATTTTGTTTATTACAAGAGACACTGTGTAAATGTAATGAAAAGCATCTGCTGCCACCATGTCGAATCTACTTTTCATTTAATCGATCGTTTCACCAAATTTCATTATTATGTATATATAAGGGTTGAAATATAACCGATTTTTATCACTATTGGAACAAATCAGTTGGGGGCTTTTGATAAACTTTCATAAAAAAGAAAAAATTACTAATTATTTATATAAATATGGTTTTAAAGTGAGACATCTATTGTTAAAAATCATCTATATACGTTTAAAACGACTGAAACGCGTGTATAACTTGTTACGCATATGTGTTTACGCATAAATCATTCGACCAAACACTATATAGTAGAACATAGTAGCCGCTTGCAATTGTTATGCTAACTACTTGCCAGTATCTGCTCTTATACATATACAGATAGTCTGTATTTCCTGCTCGACCACCTGTTACCCTTTAGAACCCACCAATTCGCCTTACTGATATCTTATATCGTTTTTTTGGGCTCGCACCTAATTCTACACTATATGCCTATATATATGCTGAAAGTGAATAGAAACTTCCTTTTCACTCCATACACGAAAATTTTTATTTAATCTACATTGGCAATATGAAAAATTTTCCTCACATTCTTATAATTTTTCCTTCACACTTTCACTGAAAAAACCTTGAACTCAAAATAAGTTGAATTCATTTGAAGTGTAACAAAAATTAGTCATTAAGATGGCGCCACGTAGGCTAATTTTTGTTGCATTTCAAATTTAGTCAAATTCAACTCATTTTGAGAGTTTAGGTTTTTTCTGTGTTTACAGGCTTAGGACTGTCAGACAGATTCAATATTATATCATATATATGTGACGAGATTTTAAGAAAGGGACCTTAGAAGCAAATGAATTATAGGTTATGTTTACAATAGTTTTACCTTGATTAAAAATTTCTTTTTGCGTAAAATTAAAATTAGTTTTTACCCATACTTGGAAAGATTTCCCGGAAAGTGCCCCCTGGAGGTTCTATCAGAATTCCGCCGGAACTTCCAACGTAATTCCATCGGAATTCCAAAGAATTTCCGATGGGATTCCGACGGAATTCCGATTAACTTTCAAAATTTTTAGAGTCTTAATTCCGTCGGAACTTTGACGGAATCCCATCGGAAATTCTTTGGAACGCCGATGAAATTCCAACGGAATTATACGTTGGAAGTTCCGGCGGAATTCTGATAGAACCTCCAGGGGGCACTTTCCGGGGAATCTTTCTGGGTATTGAATATTTTTGAATGTAATAAAGACTTAAATTATTATCAATAATTTGTTTTAAGAACATAACCTTTAATTTTTTTTGCTACTAAGGTCCCTTTTTTCAAAATGCGTTACATAGGGGTCGTCCATAAATTACGTAAGACTTTTTTCTGGTCATTTGAACCCCCCCCCCTCCCCTATGTAAGATTTTTTACATGCATTAGCGCCATTTTTTGCTATTGGTCGTAAGAAATACTTGACCCCCCCCTAAAAGTCTTACGTAATTTATGGACGGCCCCATATATTGTATCTTAACTGGCGTGTTTAAAAAATTGTTTTTTGAACTTATACACAGTTCAATAAATGAATAGTGAATAGTAAGTAAAATAGTAAATAAGTGAGTAGTAAGTAAGTGAGTAGTAAGTAAGTAAATAGGAAATAAGTGAATAGTTAATAAATGAATAGTAAATAAGTGGTAAGTAAGTGAATAGTTAAGATTAAAAAAATCTTTGGAAGCTTTAGAATTGGATTATGTGGATATGCTTTTACTTTTCTCCTCTAAAGACTATAAAACCATATAGACCAGATTATACAAAAGTTTGGAAAAGAATGCAAAATTATGATAAATATGCAATTTTTACCTATATTTTTAAAAAATAGCAAGAACTTACGTAAATATTTGAAAAAAAAACAAAATTGTTTTACCCACCAATAATTTATATGGATCAATTTCGTATATCAATGATGGAAAATTATTTAAAAGATTATGTGTTAATCTATATAGTTAATAAAATTAATAAAAAAAGAAGTTATATTAAAATGATATTATATAAATACCAATTGAAATATAATACAAGTTTCTAAATGTACTGCATTTAAAAGTGGGCTTTAAAGTTTAAAAGGACTCGTTTCAAAAGCAGAGCTTCCACATGCGGCTCAATCAGTGCCGCATGTGCGCGATGCAACACGCTCGACCTAGCCAAGGTCGGACCGCCTGCATTCTACGTGTTTCTTGTCTTATCCACGAGTATAACGCAGGTGATATCTCGTATATATATATATATACTCTTTCTGGTATGATACCCAACTGACGACATTTTCTTCATGTAAGAAAGACAAGGAGATAAATATTACTTTGACTCGTGTCAAAGAAAGAGGTCTATAACCTTCAGAGATATAATTCCCCCCCTGGGATAAGGGTGGGGGGGGGTTGCACTTTGTTCGGTAAAGTAAAAAAAAACAACAGATTTCAAGAGCATAGTAGACAATATTTAGAAAAATGTAATTCATGTTCGGGTAAAAATTTTTAAAATCGGAAAACGGACGGAAAATACAAAAAAATTCCATTTGGAAGTTATTCTGATCGAATATCCAAGGATCTATAGTCGGAAGTTAAAAATATCAAATTTTGCCCCAATTTATGTTTTTTCTTTTCGTAAAAAAAAAAAAGGAAAAACAGTTTCGAGTTGAAATTAAAACCGGTTGATGAGGGGGTTGGTATGCGACTTTAAGAAATGTCGTCAGCCGACCAGCTGATCCTGGGAACAACGCCCCGCGTGCGCGAACGCGTTTTTTGCTGGAATTAGGGTCTCCTTGATTTAAGGCCGACGGCCTCGGTTCTCACACGAAGGGTCAGCTCTTTCTCTCTCTCTCTCTTTCTCTTGTGTTGTTGTTGTCCTGGTGCCAATTTGGTCGATGTCGGTAAAATTTGGAACCAGGGGGGTGAAGAAAGGGGGGGGGGCAGATGAATTGCAATTTACATTGGTTCTTTTGAACGATTCGCGAGGAACTTTTAGCAATAAGAGAGGGACGGACGGACGAACGATACGTTTGAGACGTGGATCGGCAACTGGTTCCCAAGACCAGTGTGTCGATTGGTCTGGATTGTTCGCGAAATTCTTTCGATAGTATTCGATGAATCTATCGAGGCACGTCGTCTTCTCTAAAGTTGAACGAGCAAGGTATGCCGGTCATTATAGGCGGGGTTTTCTCTTTGGTTTTGCCGGTTCTCTTGATCCTTGCCATTTCACTTGCGAACGGCATTGGGAATTCCTTTATTCACTTAACGCCTTTATGGTAGTAAAAGTGACAAGTCGATATTGTATTTTAAAAAATGGGTTACGTAAAAAGAATTTTAAAAAAAAATTTCTTGTTTTAAAAATATGATTCTATTTTGAATTTTGTTTTGTTTGAAGAAATAATTTTAACAAAGCATTATTTAGCTTTTATACTCTTGCTACCGGTCGTTTCTAGAGGCCTTCAAACGAATAGGAAGTTTGTTCTTCCAAGCTCACAATAGATATATATAGAAACCGAATGATATGTTTAACTAAATACGTTACCGTTTGCCATATCAAAGGGAGAACTGAACCTTTATGATGGTTTCTAGTTGGTTCGCATCTAAGCAGTCTACCGGTTAACGCTGTGGTTACGGTTTACTATACCTGTGTTTGCGGCCCTCTTCCTTTTCTGTCTCTCTTAGTACGCTCGTCCTCCCTCTCTCTCTTATCCACCCTTTCGTTAGATTTCCCAATGTGGATGCTGCGCTGGAAGATGCATCAATCGCAAAATTGAAATTTCAGCTTCAACAATAATAATTACCATTGTCATCATACTGCCATATAGCTTACTGCAAAAGGATCGTTACCAAATCGAGAGAACTTCTATCATATATATATAACGAGACAACTGCTTCTGCAATCATAACTCAAAAGTAATTGGGAAATTATTATGAAAGAAAAAATTATTTCAGTTATCCATTCTGATGTAAAAGAATACAAGAGATGAAGCTGAATTAAAAATAAAGTGAAAATGAATCGTTGAAATTAAGTAAAAGTGAAGTTGGTAATAAACAACTTTTTTAAGGGAAAGAAGTATATTTGGAATAGAATATATATACTTGATAAATTCATTAAATGAAAATGTTATTAAATTTCGTTTGTCGAAATCAAAATAAATTAAAAGAAATGATTTTGTCTTTTGTCGAGAGAAAAAAGAAAATATAAGATAGTTCAATGGGATCTTTTCTTTTTTAAGATAAGAAGTATATTGGGAGAGAATATACTATAATTTATTAAAAGAAAATGTTATTAATTTTCTTTTCTTCTCTTGTTGAAATCAAAATAAATATATCAACAAAAATGATTTTGTCTTTTATCGAGAGAAAAAAAATTTACAATCAAGTATACTGATCGGTATGGTTCAATGACAGAATATTAAAGGGAATTTTTTTTTTTTTTGAGAGAGAATTCTTCTTTTGTCGAAATCGAAATTAAATATCACCAAAAAAATATGATTTTTAATTGGGATGATATAATAATTTTAGAATCTCACATATGAGAATAGAGACTAAAAAATTCTATATTTTTAAAGACTAATATTCAAAGAAGGAAATATAAATTGTAATTGTTTTCTACACTTTATATTATTATTAAAACATCACGAAAATTATCAAAAAACTTGAATGCAAAGATTTTCATTTTTCTCTGGCAACACGGGTTTCATCAATTTAAGAAATTCATCTAGAGGACATAATTTTAAACATCCGGGAATTTTTAGAATTTCAATTTTAGAAGATATTCCCAAATAATAGAGTATCTGAAATTTTATACAAAAAAAATTAATGCTAAAAAATTGTCTTTAAAGTGAAAAAAAAAACATTATGATCATACCTGTACATAATGATTGTTATTTAATGTGTATAATTCAATTATTATTGCACTTGAAAATTCAGGTATATGCAACTTATTATAAACTCCAAATGCAGAAAGTAACATGATAAGATTACGATGATGTGCACTGTATAGATAAATTTTTGGTCCCTTTCTAATGACTCCATTTTGTATCATAATCATTTCATCTAATATTTTATTAATAATGGAACCTGAAAAAATTATTAAATATTAATTATATTCATTCGTTAAATAGAAATTAATTTTTTTTTTACTATTAATAAAATTTTATACCACTACTCAATTTTTTCATTAAATCATTATAAGTCATTAATTCAAAATCAAATAATATTGCCTCCATGATTTGAGTATTATTTAAAATATAATTTGACCATTTTGGTAATTTGAGTTTCATTTTATGTTCCATTTTAAGAGTGAAATAAATTTTATATAAATCATCTAAATTATTTATTTGCTGTCCAGTGAATATTGTTAAATTTTCCATTAAATTTTCAAATTTTATTAATTTTTCTTTAATTTCAGTATTTTGCTTTATATTTTCCAGTTCTTGCAAATAGCTATATTGAAAAGAAAAAAAAAACCATAATTTAAATTGTCGGGAATAAAAAAAAAAGGTATTTATTTTTATTTATACCGAGGACAATTCATTGAAGTTAATAAAACATCTTTTGTTTCTGGTTCATATTGAAAAGGAATTGGTTGCCAATTAATTGATGAATCCCAAATTTGTAAACTATCTGGAGGATATAATCCAGCAAGTACTAATTCCAAAGAAACTTTTGTCCAATCATACATTGTACTACGAGCTTCAATAATTTCATATTGATAAATTGAATTTAAAAAATCTTTATACTTTTCACGAAGAAATTGACCTAATTTATATTCTTTTAGTTTTCCCTCCTAAAATTATATTAAATCTATTTAGTATATTAGAAAATAATAATTAGGATTTAAAAAACTTTGACTTTCTTTTTATTTTTTAATGATGAAAAATTAACTAATTTTTAAATTAAAATAATAACATTTAGTGTAACAAGAAAAAACTTACATTTGTTAATCCACTTTGTCCAATTGGAAAATAATTGTTTTCCACGTTTGGATTGTCTTTATAGCCTTCTCCTGCATCAGTGTATGGCATTCGTTCACCATTTCTAAAGACCTGAATATAAAAAAAAAAATTACTTTATTACCAAAAATTTTTATATTTTATTATATTTAGATAACATTTTTTTGATTAAAATTATTAAGTTATTTTTTAAAAAACAATTTTATACGAATCAAACTATTTGCTTACAACAATGGTTAATTCAAGTTCTGGCTTTTCATCATCGGAATAAACAAACTGAAGAAGTAGAAAAATTGTCAATGACAATGTAATAAGTATAAACACGGAAGCTGCCACATAATACGCGATTTTCATTCCTATTGGAATTTCTATTTCCTATCTATATATGTAAATATATTTAAGATATATTTTTAAATTATTATTTAAATGATTTTTCTTATTAAAAAAAAACAAAAATGACAGAACATCACAATGTTTCACATTTTCTTGTTGAATATGCAGAGTACTGATAAAGCTTGTTATGACATTCTACTGTGGTTTTATTTCAGTCTAACAAAATGATAAGAACTTTCAGTGCTGTAACATTTTATAGGCCTCTATATAATAAATCCGTTATTGTTTGAATTTTATCAAATTCGATGCGATGATGAAAAATTTATTATAAATCACGTCAGAAATTTATTTACAGATTAATAAATTTTTTTTTTTTTCCATCAAAAATAAAATTTATATATCAAAATTTAAATTATAAATAAATTATAAAGCTATTAATAAAAATAAATAAATAAAAATAATATATATATATATATATATATATATTGTTATTAAATTATTATTCATTAAAAATGAAATAATATGTATTTAATTTTAATTTCAATAGTATATGCTATATATATATAGAGTGTTGATAAATATAATAGTAGAAGAACAATAGAAATATAAAAGTTTGAGTGCCACTGGGCGATGAGAATAATAGATTCGGTATCTTTTGCTTTAGGCTGTGGAAATATCACATTTTCCGGCTTCCATTATTATAACAAAACTCGAAAAGGTATTTCACATTTTCATTGAAATGCAGTGTAATGCTTTACTATTTCCCCATGCAGTTAATATGTCAAAGGTACATGATACCGAAAACAATAATTAACAATGTCACTTTAACATTTCTCAGGTTTTCATATATATATATATATACTTCAAATTGTTTTATTTTTTATTTATCATTCTACTTATTTAGAAATTTGTTTTCATTTTTTAAAAAATATAATTGAATTAAAATTTACTCTCTAAATCTGAATTAGTAAAAATGTTTACTAATTTGAATTAGTGACTCACTTTTTGCTTCTGAATTAGTAAAATTTTACTAATTATTAGTAACTTTTAATAACAATTAGTAAAATTTAACTAATTCAGATTTAGAGAGTATATTTATAAATCAAAAGAAAAATGATTTTTGTGTCATCTTTAGAAATTCTATCGATATCGATTCCCATATAGCGATATGGATGATGTTTGGAGGGGGAGGGGGGGAGGACATGTTTCACGAGAAATCACGCTCCCGTGGGAAGCAACGCAGTAGAGGCTCGTAAAGAAGAAACGAGGAGAAATCCCAAAGTGGAAAGGGAAAAGGAATTGAAGAGAAAATAAAATCAAATACGTGAAAGAGGGACCCCCATATAGTGGGATGAAGAGGGAATTGTGTATAAAAAACTTTGGCGACAGACGAGCCCTGACTCCGAGGAGATCGTCTTTGTCGGCAGGGCCTGCTAATTAGTTTACTAACTTATCGACTCCTCTTTGTATTTACGACCCATACACGCACTTTTAAAATAAAGGTCTCTTCACACAATATACGTGAAGGCATATTGATGATTCCTGTCATTTTTTGTGATATTCCGGAGGACATCCTAGATCCAAAGGATATAGAAAAAAAAAGGAATTGAAAAGAAATATTTGTGGAAATGTAAATTTTTTTTTTTTGAAAATCAAACCCGATATCGCGTTCCAAGAGACAAATTAAGTTCTTGCGTTCGGCGAGCAATCGACCAAAGATCCAACCTTTATGGTCTTTAACGAGAGACTTTACCGCGACCATGATACGAGAGTCGGCAAAGATCAGTCGACTTTTGAACACATGTGTCACCTCTTTTCTACAACCCCCCCTACCCCCTCCCTCCCCTCTCTTTTTTCTCACTATATATATACCTAAAGAATTATCTACCAATAATAAATTATTTTCAAAATTAATGTAATTAGAAAAGAATCGATATTATTGTCAGGTGAAATAATTCCCGAAAAAAAAAATTTAAATCGACACTCTTAAACGTGCGCGTTCAAGCGAACCAATGAGATTCACTTAAAGGGATAATTTTTTAACTAAGTTACGCACCAAACTCCTCTATCTCTCTTTCTTTATTCATCCCTTGCGCTCTCCTTCGTTGATTGGCAATTTCGCGTCTTGCATTTTTATCCACGTCTTTCTCGCGTCGACAGCAACCCCTTCATTTTTAAATTATCCACCAGATTAATCAAGGCGTCATTTTTCACGTCCAATTTGCAATAAAAAGAACGAAAAAAAAATCCTCTACCATCGTTCGAGAAAAGAAATATATATATATATATGGGGAAGAGAAAATATTTTTCTTTTATTTCAAACGATTCAATAAAAAAGAGAGATGGAATTAAAACAAGTTCATGCTGAAGAGTAAATTTTATTCTTAATTGATACATTCTGAATTAATTAATTCTTCCACTGGATAGTCGACGACTAAAGGGTTGAGATACTTGAAGGAGAGTGAGAGAGAGAGAGAAAAAAAAAAGAGGGCTGCTTGGTCACAAAGACTCTTTCTTAATTAGTAGAGGCAGTAAATTTCTTTCATTGGACATTTTTTTCTTCGATTATTAGAGCATAGATCTTCTACCACCCTTTATTGGGTTCTTACAACCCTTTCTTTTTTGCCCTGACACTCAACATCTGTTAGAATTGATCGTTACCTATAAAAAAATAGGGGTAAGGCAACACGTGGTATGGGGGGGAGGGGTCGATTACGATTTTTCTCAATTCCCATATTCCATATTCCATATAAAATATGCCATGAATATAAAATTCGATCTATTAATAAAAATCACTGACAATATTATTTTCAAAAAGTTTTTTTTTTTTTTTTTTAAATTTAAACATATGAGATATATTTATTTTCTCTACTTTACTGTTTTTATGTTCTATTCATAGAATTTTATTATCAGAAAATTTTTTTACATATACAATATATGCTTCCAAAAAAAAGGAAATTAACATTGTGAGTGAATTCTTATCACAGCTTTTTTTTTAATAGTGTTGAAATACATATATTTCTTGAGATAAAACTTAACAAAAAAAATATTACGATATTTATCCCTCTCCATTCAGTTGCTTGTAATAAGTGAGTAAAGACGTGAATTTTACAAAATAAATATAATAATAATAAAGAAATAATGCAACAGGAAAAAAGTATATGTCAAAAAAAGTGTTTTGAAATTATTAAAAAAAATCTCCGCTTAAATAATATAGATAAAAAAAATTGCATTTTTAAATTTGTGCCACGAAATCAGTCCGAAGGTTTTTTAGGACAATATTATAGTCTTAATGTCAATTATAAAAATAAAAAAACAAATAAAATGGAATATTTAAAATTTTTTGTGAAACTACCACCATCGGATGAAATACAAAATAATTTTGTTATGGAAAATGGATGTTTTCAAATTGAAGTTGGGCTTTATATGAAAATATTACCAAAACTATTATCATCATCATCATCATCATCATCATCATCATCATCATCATCATCATCGATGGAAATACAATGTATTCCAAAATATTTTTTTGGTACAGACAATTGTATTGTTTTAGAAGATATGGTGAATTATCAAATTTTAAATAAATATGATTTTATTTCATTTGAACATTGTGTAATTGTTTTTCAATTTATTGCATATTTTCATGCAAAATCAATAATTTTTGAAAAAAAAGAAAAAATCAATATTTACAATTGGTGTCATAGTGAAAAAATATTTATCAATTTAAATGATAATAATTTTCAATATACTTTAAATTATTTTGTCGAAAATTTAAAGTTTTTAACAGATCTTTTAATAGAAATTGATGAAAATAAACGTGAGGAATATAAAAGAAAAATTGAAAAAATTGGCTCTAATCATTTTAAATTTACTGAACCAAGGAATAATGAATTAAATGTATTGGTACATGCCGATTTATGGACAAATAATATTTTATTTAAATATGATGAAAATAAAAAAGTCAAAGAATGTTGCTTTATTGATTTTCAAATGGCAAGGTAATTATTAATTATTTAATTAAAGTTTTTCTTTATTACTTTTTTTTTTTTTTTTTTATTAATAATATTATCGTTAAAAATGAGTTTATTTTTACTTTTTTTTATCAAAAATTATTATACTTTGTATATATGTGAAAGCAAAGTTTTTTCTTGTTTCACTGATAATCTTTTCACCTTACACTCTCTCATTATAATTATTATTTAATCATTTTTCTTTGTATACAGATATTGTGCCCCTGCATACGATTTATTATATTTCCTGTATTGTACCACATCAAAAAATCTACGCCGCGAGAAACTTGATAATTTATTAAGAATTTATTATCAAACATTAACTGAATCATTGAATGAGGCAAATTTAAATATACTCGATATTTTTCCATTTGAGCAATTAGAAAAATCGATATCAAAATTAAAAATTCATTGTATGATTCAAGCTTATGCTACAATGAGTGTTAGTCTTTTGGGAATTGATTCTACACAACAAAGAGTAAAACAATTAAAACCACTGGAAAATATTGTAATAAATGAATTTAAAAATCAAGAAATATATAAAATGAGAATGAGAGACAATTTATTAGATCTTTATTGTAATCTTGAAGAATTTATTATTTGATTAAAATAAAATTTGTTATAAATTATATATATATATATATATATAAAAATAATATTTTATATTGAATAAATTTTCTATGTTTAATAATATGTATGTGTTTAATTGAATTTATATATTAGTATATAGTATTTATTAGAATAAATACTAAGAAATGAAAAACTTTCAAAACAGTGATTGGTTCAAGGTTGACAAAATCAACTGTATTTGATAAGCGAAATTATGAGTTAACTCGTTAATACGAGAGTAATTTTTTACATATATAAAAAACATTTTAAAACAAAATTTTGTAGTTTTGTTTTTTTTTTTGTAAAATGTTTATTTAAAATTAAAATTATGAAAAATTTGTCAATTTCTTTCTCAAAAAGAACACGTCATTCTATTGACAAAATAATAAAGAGGAAGGGGAAAGGTTCGTCATTTGAAAAGGATCACGACAAACATATTATTGACAGTTGGATTAATTTTGTCCACAAGGAATCCGTCTTTAAAACTATAAAGCCATCGAAAAAAAAAAATTCACGTGTATTTTAATATTAATTAATTAACTTTTCTAAAAAAAAAAAAAATGGAATTAAACATTTGTCCTGGTTTTTCAATTAGTGAACAAATTATTCGCGATATCGCGTATTTAAAAACTGAGGGCTTAGGACCAGAGGAGATTAATAAAATAACAGTTCGTATTTATACATGCGGTAAACGTTATATCGGTCGATTTGGACGTTATTTTCTCCTTTCATTTGACAATACACCACAAATTCTTCGTTGTTTTGTAAAAATTCCACCATCATTAAATAGCAATGAAGAAAGTTTAGTACGAAATTTAGGATTATTTAATCGTGAAGCTGAAATGTATGCTATTGTATTTCCAAAAATAATGAAATTAGAAGATTCTGATATAATACCAAAATTTTATTATGCACAAATGAATCATGTTCTTGTTATTGATGAAATGGGAACAAATAATTATCAAACAATTGGAAAAATGTGTTGCATTGGATATGAACATTGTTGTTGTGTTTTAAAAACATTGGCGCGTTTTCATGCGCGTTCAATTATTTATGAGGAAAAAGTTAGTGGTTATAGTTTATTGGACGATTGTGAAATAACATGGCAAGTTAGATTACAATTACGACCATATGATAGTTTAATGCAAAAATATTATTCAGGAATTGGTCATAGTTTAACTGAAGTATTTCAATTTATACCACAATTATTGACACTCGATGTAAAACGTTTTATTCATGAATTTCAAAAAGCAGCAAATGCACTATTTCCAACAATTACGGATAAAGAATTTTCCAGTATGAGAGTACTATGTCATTCTGATTTACAAACATCAAATCTTTTATTTTCCTACGATGAAGATGATAATCCTCATAAATGTTGTATGATTGATTTTCAATTTGTCAAGTAAGTTAGAATTTTATAGTTTCTACTAACTTTATAATGAATGTTACAAAAATTAATGATTTTTTTTTTTTTTTTTGCAGATACTCATCGTTGGCTTATGATATATGGACATTTTTATATGCATCAGCTGACAAGGATTTGAGAACTGAACGTGTCAATGATTTCTATCAGGTTTATTATCAGGAATTGGCGAAATATTTGACAGAAGGTGGTGTCGATGCTGCAAATATATTTCCATATGAGGAATATGTGAGTTTAATGGAAAAGGATCGTGTCTATGGTATGTTGCAAGGTGTCTTGGCAATATATCATGTTCTTCATCAAGAAGTAAAAGTCAAATATGGACCAAATTATAGAAAGACGTGGCATAAAATATGGCAAAATTCACCAGAAATTGATAGTGAAGAATATGATAAAATTCGACGTTTAAAAAATAGAATTGTCGAATCATTATTAGAATTATATTCATCGCTTATGAATAGAGAACCAAGTGACGAATCAGATGAAAGTGATTATCCAACATCACGAAATATATCCGAAGACGAATCATCAGATGTTTCAGTTGAAAATGGATTAAGAATGCAAACAGATAATGAACAAGATGATGAAGCTGATGACGCTGACAATGATGAGGATGATGATGACGACGATGATGATGATGTTGACGAGCAAATGTTAATTAATTTTGTAATGCATCGTTAAAAAAAGAATAATTTTTATATTTAAATTTTTTTTTAATTAAAATCAAAATCTTTGACAGTATTAAATTTTAAATAAAATTGATAAATTATTTTGTTCTTAAATTTTTGTGTATTTATTTACAAATTCTTTTAAACCCATACCACAAAGTAAACAAAGTTGTCTCACTCTAAATTCAAATATTTTCAGTTTTATTGTCAGTTCTATATCAAATTTCCCATTTCATACAAGCAAAATAAATTTTGTTTCTTGTTAAAATTTTATTTAAGAAAAAAAAATATATTAATAATGGAAATTGAATTAACTCCGGATTTAATTCTATCGCATGTGACAGTGAAAAAAATAATTGAAAAGAAAACTGATCATTTGGGTAATATTATTAATTTAATGGAATTGACACCAAAATTAATATTTCTAAAATCTTCAAACAGCAAATGGAATAAATACGCAATTATTGAATTTAATTATCATTCAATTGTTCAAAATTTGAATCATCAAATTTTAAGGATATTTTTGAAAATTCGACACATTAAAAATGTGAATAATCAATTTAGTCTTATTAAAGCAATTGGTTTATTTTATCGTGAAATTGAAATTTATTCGTGTGTATTTAAAAAAATATTGAAAACTGAAGACGAAGATATTGTGCCACAATTTTTTCACGCTGAAAATGATGCTATTTTAATAATTGAAGATATGAAATCAAAAAATTATAGAAAAATCAATAAAATGCGAGCTCTCGATATATCGCATTGTATTGTTGTTTTAAAATGTCTCGCAAGATTTCATGCGAGATCAATTATTTATCATCAAAAATTAGAAACAACATTTCCTTTAATTGGCTATACAAAACATTATTCAAACACTGAGAAAATGTTTATTAATCAACCTGAAAGTTATTTGAGAGTGCATTTTTCAAAAATTGGTTATAATTTGTCAGATGCATTTCATTTGATTAAAGAATTGGAAACATTAGAATATAAGAAATTTAAAATTATTTTTCTCGAGATGGTTGGCAAATTTTTTGACATTGTTGCTAATCCAAATTTTTCCAAATTTCGCGTATTATGCCACTCGGATCTTGTAGCATCAAATCTATTATTTCGTTACAATGAAATCAATGAACCTGTGACATGTTGCTTTATTAACTTTCAATTCACCAAGTAAGTGTATTTTTTTAAATTATTAGTTTATTATTATATTATTATTATTATTATTTCTCATAATCATTTAACTGACAATAATTAATTGTTTTAATGACAATTGTATTAATTATAAAGAATTAAATTAATGCAATAATTATAATTTAATTAATGGAGAGTAAAAATTTAATAAATGAGTTTTTAATTTAAAAAATTAATTTTTAAAAATTTCATATAATTTTATAAATATAATTTTTATAGGTACTCATCTCAAGCTTACGATCTCTGGGGATTTTTATATATGAACACAACTGAAAAAATGAGAAATGAGAAAGTAGATGTTTTTTGTAAAATCTATCATGAAACATTATTTGAAATTTTAAATAACAATCAAGTCGATGCTTCTATTATTTTTCCATATTCTGAATTTAATGATATGATGAAAAAATATCGAATTTATGGTTTAATGCAGGGAATTTTAAATCTCTATGAGGAATTACGTAAAGATTTAAAATCTAAATATGGAAAAGAATATCGAGATATATTAATACAATTGTGGAATGATTCAATGGAATTATCATGTGAAAATAATAAAAAATATAGAGATTATAAAAAAAGAATAGTCGACGAAATTGTTGAATTGTATTGGATGACGATGACGATATAATCTTACGTTTTTATTTTATATTTTTTTATATTTTATTACAATCAAAAAATTTGCATTTTTTTTCATATGAATATTTTTTTTATATTAAATTTAATTCATCTAATATTGATACTTTCATTTTTCATTTATTGACTAAATTTTATATTTTTTTTTTTATAAAATAAAAGATATTTATCGATTTTAGAAATGATTAATTTTAGTGAAACCACTTATTTTTGATTAATCAGTATAGAGGCATAATATTTTAAACGTTGGTAAGCCTGTAAAGATTATTTCTACATTATTGTCGATAAAGTAGATCTTTCAATTGGAAACTTTCATTCAATAGAATTTTACATTGTTTTAATGGCATATATTTTTTTCTGAATAAAGCGAACTTTTTTTTTTAATTAACTATACAATTAATATTTATATTAATATAAATTTTTGTAAAAACAACATTTTTAATTTTTATATACTTTTAGTTTAAAATTTTCAGTACTTCCCCGAAAGTTTCTTCTTGAAACTTCAGGTATTCCCCGGACGAAGTATTCGTAGTAAAATTAACTTCAGTTCACTTCATTAATTCTTAAACGTAACATATGTATAATATAACTTGAGTGTTAATGTATTAGAATAAATGCGTGTAAAAAAAATGTGTATGTGTTGATTGTAAACTTCTCGATACGTGATACTCGATGAAAATATCAGCAGTACCTATTCATCGTTCGTTATAAAGCACATCGTCTTATTTTAAACATCGCCTGCGCCAAATAAAAGCTGCTATTTTCTAAAATATATTTTAAGTGTTTTAAAAAAAAAAAAATTGTGTTCAAGGTTTTAAAATTTAATTTAAAAATGGCGTGTGATTTAATTGTGACACATGAACAGTGGTTTAAAACAATTCAAGAACAATTGAATAAAAAATTTTTAATTGAAAAAATAGTTCCAATAAAAAATGAAATGTTGGGTTATTTAGGACAATATTTCATTTTAAAAGGACGTAAAGAAAATATTGCAAATCCTTCTGAGTTTAGTTTTTTTTTGAAAATAGTGCCCAATGGTGAAAAACAAAAAAATTTTATAAGACAATCGTGTGTTTTTAATAATGAAATTGTTCTCTATGAGACACTATTTCCTGCGATGAAATTTAAAAATAAACCTAATTTCATTTTAGGTTTAATGGACAATTTTATTTTATTGGAAGATATGTCAGAAAATTTTCAAATGCAAGATAAATTAAAACCATTTAATTTGGAATTTTGTAAAATTACATTAAAAACAATTGCCAAATTTCATTCAAGATCATTGATTTTTGAAATGAAGGAAAATAAAATTTTGAATTTTTTAAAAAATGAAAATATTAATTTACATTCACCTGAAAATTTAATGGCGCAAGCAATAAAAACAAATATTGAAGGTGTTTGTGGGATAATTGATTTTATTGCCGATAAAAGTGATAAACAATGGGCAAAAGTGAAAAAAATATTACGAAAAGAAGCAAAAGAATATTATGATGAAATAAATTTCAATGGAAAAAAAGTACTTTGTCACAGTGATTTATGGTCAAATAATATTCTTTTTCAATTTGATATTTATAAAAATCCAATAAAATGTTGCCTAGTGGATTTTCAATTATGCAGGTAGGTTTTTTTTCAATTTTTCCTCTTTATGTATAAATTAAATTAAAAGAAATAAACAAATAAAATAAAAAATTTTTTTAGACCTTAATTTTTAATTTTGAAAATTTAATTTTGAAAATTTAATTTTGAAAATTTAATTTTGAAAATTTAATTTAAAAAATTTTATTTCTAATAATTGATTTAAAAAAGAGCATATTTTCTCAAAAGTATATTGTAAATAAACTTTAAAGTTGCGTAAGAATTCTTTAAAGTGATTCCCCCTTTCTCTTTCAAAAGTGAATGTGTGTAGTTTCTGAGTATTATATTTTGTTTACTTCCGTTCGAACCGAATGCGACTCCACTTAAAATCTTTAAAGTTCAAATAAAGGATAAAATGACATTGAAATATTTTAATCACCATATTGATCAAATCACTTATATTCATAATATATATACAGGAAGTATCGAAAGGGAAATAAATATAAAAAAAACAGATATAGAACAAACTTGTTTTTATCGCCGAACCAGTATAATTTAAAAAAAAAATATATAAAAAAATTACTATAAAATAAAAAATCTAATATTATTATTATTTATTTTTTTTGTATTTTTCAATAATAATAATAATACGAAACAGAAATATTGGCACGCACGTAATATGCGATAAGAAAATTGTTAATTTGTCACGATTCACACATTGAATATTTGTATACGTGTATCTATAAAAATAATAACTGCTAAATTTTTATTATAAATAATATAATTCTAATTTTTTTGCAGATATGCACCACCGGCTTTTGATGTCTTAATTTTTTTATATTTTACAACGGAGAAAAAATTGAGGCAAAAACATTTTGATGAACTTATTGATTTATATTATGATTTTTTAGAAAAAAATTTAAAACAAGATGGAATAAATATTGAAAAAATTTTACCACGAGTTGAATTTGATGAATCGATAAAAAAATTGAAAATTAAAGCAATGACAGCAGTTATTGCTTATATGAGTATTGATTTTTTAACTACTAATATCAATAAAAAAGGTGCAGTAACTAAGGAAGAGGTGTGGAATTGCCTTTCTTTTGATACAAAAAATTTAGTTTTAAAACAATTTAATACTGTTCAAGAATATAAATATAGATTAAAAAATAATCTTGAGGAATTATTTCAAGCAATAGTGGAAGAAGAATTTATTACTGATATGTTATGAATATTTTATTTTGTTTAAAAAAAAATGATGTTTTTTAAAAGAGAAACAAAAAATGTTTCCAGTATTATTTTCTATACTTTATTTTGGTGTAAAAAATATATGCCAAAAAAATTATTAATAAAAGCCTATTAAAAAAAATGTATATTTTTTTATAATTCACTAACCTGTTTAATTGAAGTCCTTCGCTGAGTGTGGTTTAAGATTCCTTATTCCTTTTCTCCTTCGTGTTTAGGCTTCATTTTCTTTAAACACAATACTGAATAAAAAAAATTTATTATTATTTTATATTTTTGAAACACAATTATAATCGATAATTAAATTCACAATTTAATTTTACAGTAAGTAAAGTGAAGAAATTTTTACAAAACTATGATGAGTAAGAAATCAACTACTTTCTGCAATGACTAAATACAGAATGCGAGTTTATATAGGGAATTCTGGTCCTTATAAACTGCATATAATACACTAATTACCCTAACTGGTGGGGATGGAGTCAAAACATAATTAGATTTTAACTATTTGGGTTTTTAATCCTTAGTCATAAAGTGAAAAATAATTTTAAAAGAAAATATTGAATATTTTCTGTACATAATTACAGTATTGTTGGTATATTTACAGTCCTTAAATATCGATACGATCTTTTGTGGTTAGAAAATGTCGCCCCCCTAAAATTTACCCAGTAGTCATAATCTCATTATAATCTCTAAATTCAAAATTAGGTATAATTTGCAAAATATTGAAAAATAATGGGGTATTTAAATATAAATTATAGGAAAAACCTAAAAGTTGATTATTGCTATGTAAAGAAAAATAAAAAAAAAGTTACCCCTAACATATAGAAAAATATATTTCTTTTCTACGGACCTGCCCCTTTTCATCTTTGTAATATTAACTTTCCTTTTTGTTCGTAAGAAAAGACTTTTTGATCGTTCAGTCACAATTCCGCGGTCTTATAAGTCTTAATAATTAAAAGAAATTATAAACCTTCTAAAAAAGGGTTAAACTTCGATTCCCGAGAGTATTGGTATGAAGAGTGGAGAGGAATTGCCTGCCTCGTGTTGTTAAATAAGGAACGGGTCTTCAGGCAAATAAGAGGTCTCTCTCTCTTTCTTTCGCGAAAAAGAGGGATTCAGGCGTTGAAGTGAAGTAATTAAAAAATATACGACGATAAAATGACATTGGTAACAAATTGAGTTATATCCCTTCGAAAATGAATTTCTTTTCCTTATATACCCTTATTCGCGCTTATATTTTTATATAGAAATATTTTCTTCATTTAAATTTCTTTTCTATCACATTTTTTCACCATTCATAAAAAATTATTTTCTCAATTTAATTTATAAATATTATTATAAAATAGAAATTTCTGTCTTGTTAATTTTTTTTTTTATTAATAAATGATAATAATAATAATTGAAATCTCCCAGAGTTATTGCTATATATCAGAAAGCACTGACTAGTTTCAAAGCAGAGACTTATGTAAATTGACGAAAATGGTATGGAGAACTTTTCTGGTGAAATTCTCTGTTCCGCTAACGACCTACAAAGAGAAGTAAGAGAAGCGAGGAGGGTTGAAACGGAAGCGGACCGAATCATTTTTACCGAAATTAAATCGAAAATTAGACTCTCGCATTAAAATTCGGTCTCGATAGAAGTCGCGACGCTCACGAGGAATGCAAGTGGCAGGACTTAAGTCCAAGAGATTCAAGAATATAAAAGTAAATATAAAACAAAAAATTATTTACAAATTTTAGATTTTTAGAAAAATAGCTTTGAATTTAAAAAAAAATTGTGATTTAAAGAAAATATTTGTATTTCTTTAATATATACAAATTTTGTTAAATGATAAAGATTTGAAAAAAAAAGATTAAATATAAAACGATGTATAAATCAAGATGCTTAATGAGTTAAAAGTAAAGGGTTAGAGGGTTGTTTTCTACAAGGCGGCGCAGGGTTATAGGAAGAAAAGGGGATTACTCTTCACAGGGGGGTACCGGCTCCAATTTACGATTCATTTCGTCGAAACGACCGCTACCGTCGGTGCGTTTTAGCTTATATATATATATATATATATATATATACATCTATTTTACCGATCTGAATAATTAATTTTAATAACGAATTTTCCACGACGGTTCGTTGTTTTCTTCTTCCATTGTATGTGTGCTTTCTTTATTGCCTCTTGAGCATTTTTTTTTCCAACTATTCTTAAAACCATAACGTATCGATCTAATTCATCTTTTAATATCTTTTTTGTCCTAATTCTTGTTTGACCTAATAAAAAATATATTGTAAATAGAATATAGTTATACATTTTCTTGGTAATTCGAGATGAGATCGATTACACACAGGTCTACAAAATAAATTCGATGAAAGGTTACTTTGACCAAACCTGGTGTATTATATATTTTTGGGGTCGCTGATCACGAATCTGAAGTTCGTTTTGCTCCATCGCGTTAGGATTTTTTCCTAACCTCAAAAAACATGTTGGATTTTACGTTGCAGACAACATTTTGTAAATATTGACGGATTTATCTCAATCTTGATATCTAGGGGTTTTTGGGATCGCTGATTACGAATTTGAAGGTAGATTTTCAAAATACAAAATGGCGGATCCAATATGGCGGCCGGATTTTCAAAAAATTGCATTTTTTACAAAACTTGAAATCTAGGGGTTTTTTTTAGGTCGCTGATTACGATTTTGAAGTCTGATTTTCAAAATCAATAGATATAACATGAGTTCAAGATATGCTTTACTTTGCAAATTACCTATACATTCAGCCGTATCCAGGAACAAAGACGTGGACGTAGCAGGCTTAAAAAAATCGGACATTTTTATTAACTAATTCTCCACTTACGATCCCAGTCAATCTCCTTTTAAGAAGGAGGCAAGGGGACTCACCATAAACAAGCCTTCAAATTCGTAATCAGCGATCCCAAAAATCCCTAGATACCAAGTTTTGTAAAAAATGCAATTTTTTAAAAATCCGGCCGCCATATTGGATCCGCCATTTTGTATTTTGAAAATCTGCCTTCAAATTCGTAATGAGCGACCCCAAAAACCCCTAGATACCAAGATTGAGATAAATCCGTCAATATATTTACAAAATGTTGTCTGCAACGTAAAATCCAACATGTTTTTTGAGGTTAGGAAAAAATCCTGACGTGATGGAGCACAACGGACTTCCGACAAAATTCAACTTTTTTTTGACCCACAAAAAAATCCAACATTTTTAGAAACTAGGATTCAAAAAAAATACCCGTGTCTGGCCGTTTTGCTATAGATCAAGTCGTTTGTGGTTTTTAGGGGTGAAAAAAGCCCCTAAATAAAAAGTGACAAGATATCTTTTAAAAATTATTAATATTTTATAAAACTTGGTATCTGGGGGTTTTCGGGGTCGCTGATTATTAATCTAATGTTAGATTTTCAAAATTCAAAATGGCAGATTCAATATGGCGGTCAAAATTTTAAAAATTTATTATATTTTTTTTAAACCTTGGTATCTAGGGTTTTTTTTTGGGTCGCTGATGACGAATCTGATATTAAATTTTCAAAATTCAAAATGGCAGATACTTTTTAAGAATTTGATCACTATATTGGATCCGCGATTTTGAATTTTGAAAATCTGACATCAGATTAATAATCAATGACCCCGAAAACCTCCATATACCAAGTTTTATAAAATATTAATAATTTTTAAAAGATATCTTGTCACTCTTCATTTATGGGTTGTTTTCACTCCTAAAAACGATAAACGACTTGATCTAGCAAAACGGCCAGATACGGGTATTTTTTTTCGGTCCTAGTTTCCGAAAATGTTAAATTTTTTTATGGGTCAAAAATTGTGTCATAATACATCAGGTTTGGTCAAAGTATAACCTTTCATCGAATTTATTTTGTGAACCTGTGTTATTGTTTAAAAAGAAGGGGATGTTAACGATCCTTCTATTCAAAGATTCCTTGTATATATATATATATTTAGAGAGCGATTAACGATCGCACATGTTAAATGACTATCGTTCGTAAAGGCATGGTATCTCCTTTATGTCCAATGTGATACACGAGCTTGAATCGGATAGTAAATTGTCAGGAATTCAGGCGTCAGTTATGGCATTCCAAAAGATACACGGTATATGTTTCTTATATTGCTGATCGAGAGGAGGGAACCGTCGATATCGGTTTCGCGCGGTGTTTCTATACCATATGAAAAGGAGCGCCAATAAACTTTTCTGGAAACCTCTCTTATTCATTTGGATAACGCATATATACCATTAACATATGTTATATATCTGAGATGCTGTGCAAAAAAAAAATCGTTTATCTCACTCTATACGCTCCGATAAATTTTATTCAATCCTATAAAGTATAATATCAACAGTCACTTTATGATACACATTTTTTTTTTTATTTATAAATTTATATGTCAATTTTAATGTTTAGCTTTGCCTTTATTCAGTTTTATATTCGAATTCAAAAGACGACATCTTTTTTGTATCCTGGCTATCTAATCTTTTGAGATATATATTGCGAGAATAGTATATATATATATAGTTTCTTCTAGATTTTATGTTTTTAATGGAAAGTTTTACGAGGACGTATTCTTGTATTTTGATCCATTAAATCGAATTATTTTCTTTGAAGAAAAAGAAATTATATTTAAAAAGAAGATTAATTTTCAGTTGTAAAATTCAAAATGTTGTATATTTAAGTGGAACAGTATAATTATTATCACATTTGGTTATAAGAGCAAGAGATATATATTTGGGTATATAGTATAATTTGTAACAGAGTTGTCGCCCCTGGTTTGACATTGCAGTAAATATACAAGGGTTGATATAGCGATGTTATATCACTGGACTAACACACAAATGTTCACGGTCCCCAAAGTTACACTTATAGCCTTGATTTTCCACTGATGTTAATGTGAAAATCAAAATATCACTCATCTCAATCTTTTTTTCTTCAAAATTTTACATTTTTAAAGGTATTAATTTAAAATAAATTATCCAACAATGGAAAACTAGTCAGAGCCTTATCAGT